TAAGGAAACAACCGCATGAAATTTCAAAATTTCAAGAAATTATATCGAAGAAAAATGTTTAAGAAAATTGACAATAAATGGCAGCAAATGCAACAAATTACCAGTCATTGCTCCTAAATGAATACAATGATTTGAATGCCGTTGTTAGCTGTTTAAAGTACAGCCAACGTTCTAGACATCTCATAATTTTATGAGCAAGATTTAATATTCTCGAAGATATCAGAAATAAAACCAAAGCGAATTATTGATTTTAACGAATTTTTCCTGATGAAGGCAATATTACAGAGCAATAAGGGCAAAATATATTTGAGATTTACATCTAACCAACTTAATAACTGATTAAAGAACTTGCCTTAACTAACATTTCTTAAACTACTCCGATACAGCAATCCAAATAAAGTTCTGCCAAAACTTCAAAAGTAAGATAATAAATCTTCCTTCGGGAGTCATATCGGTAAGTTTCAGAAACATTTCGGAGCGACACCGCTTATTTTGTCAATCGATATCTTTCTATAGAACGTGACATCTTCCCTTGGTAGGGCTAATGGATGACGCATTTACTTGCTAGGGTCAAGGTCCATAACGAAAGCAAAATACCAACGTACAGGTTACGTTGCAGAAAAGAAATTGCGTTTGTAACTGATAAGCGGGTTTAAGCACGCTAAAACAAGTGTCTATATCTTCTCAGCTTGCAGTGAAAGAATAACAGTATTCTCTATTAATCATGACCTAAATGGTAGCTACTAAGTATTTACGGTTAAATACATTTAAACTGGGAAATAACAAAAATTTGATATTACTTTATGCATTAATTTTTTTATTTAGAAACGTGGTGTATGTAGATAGTTCTCAATTTTATGTTTAAAGTGCTTGCTAATAATATAGAATTTTTGGAGTAAAGATTGGGGATTTAAGAACATTGCTACATCGAAAGAAGCTTAATTTATTAAATTTCATAATTGAAACAAAAACCATTTTTTAGCAGTTCGGGAGAAAAAATATTACAGAGAAGCGAAGGGATAGTATTAATATTTTTCTAAATTATAGAAAACTTTTATTTTCATAACTGTTATTGAAATTAATATTATAGCAACAATTATACGAATATTTTGTATACCATGTGCATAAATTCTGTTTTGTATTCTAGTGCAGAATTTTACTTATGAATTATTCCTTGTACGAAGTAAAGCTGTTATATTTTGGTAAATTGGGCATTTTTGCTTTATTATGTTGTTGTATTATGTTAAAAATTATTGAATTATGTTGTTCTTATCTTCTGGTTAAGGTTTTTATCTTCTGGTTTAGTTAATCTGCATGTAATAGTTGTAGAACTATCAACAACTTGAAATTTGTTTAAGTGCGTCTAAGACTAATTTTTTTTTACTATAGGATCCATATTCGTTTACATTTGAAACTTAGCAGAATAGTTAATTCAGCTTCTGTACCTTCAGTGTCTTTTTGTCGAAGGGGACCAAAAGTAAACTTTCAGTTTTGTGCATCGAAAAATCTGACTTCTTGCCCGCTGGCCGAATTGCTTGTTTTTGCGTAGAAACTCAATTTTAATTGTAAAAAAATGTTTTAAAAATTGATTTAATGTATTTGGTGTTTCATATTTATCTGTATTTTTAAATTTTTAATGAATATATTTTGACGTTTTAAATATTTTTGTCTTACCGCGAAGTGAGAACTGAATTAATTGAATTTGAAATATATCTGTAATGAAATTCGAGGAAATAAGTTTAAATGAAATACAGGAAAAAATGTGTATAGTTTAATATTCCGTAAAAGAAAGTCATGAAGCGTATACATCAGATTTTTTATTTTTAAATATACTCCGAATTCAGCTCTTCGTTTGCCAATTTTAGTTAAATGCTGAAAACAATGAAGTGTTTAGTGTAACTAATTCGCCAAAGCTAGTGTAAATTAGCACATCATAATTATTATATCGTAATTTAGTATCTAATTTGAAATAAGGTAAAGAAATAAAAAAGTACAACTTTATCTCTTGAATTTAATGAATATTTTATTATTTTCCTGCAAGCAGTAAATACTCTGCGAGTAAGAAATTATACAAGTATTATACTTGTATTAAAGCTGCAAGCCAAATACTATAAATTTGATTGTAGCATTAAAAAGTATGTGTGTTTTATAAATATTCAAAGAACTATGTTAAAAATTAATAAAATGATTCACAAATGAGAAATTTACTTATTGGTATTATTGGATATAAATTTATGACGCAAATGCTTTTTACCTGCATGCGTTTTCTTATAGAGTAAACATTCGTTTTCAGGCGCATTTTTTCTCGTTAAAAAGCCTATTTACTTAACAATAAAATTTCATCCTTATCATAAAATGAATATTAATTCTTAAAAAATGTGCACTTAATGAAAACTTAAGAGATTTTTACCATTAAACTTAAAAATTTGGTAATGGAGAAAAAAAGTCTTTCTTGCATTCTTCTTTATGCTTCTTATATTTAAACATCACGATTCTTACCTTACTTCTTGCTTTCCTCCTTCTTTGTTTTAAAGATTATCATTCTTACCTTATTTTCTTTTCTACATCATAAGATGCCACCGCCCTTTCTATGCTATCTTCACCTAAGACAATCAATATATTTCGGACGCTTTTACACATTTTAAGTGTAATTTCTTTGCAACAAAATTGTTCGCGAGTGTTGGGCAACCTCCATTTCTCTACATGGACTCCACCATGTAAAATCAGCACCCAATAAAAGTAACCTTGAAGAATGCAAGACTTCAAGCAATGTGCTTCATCTAGCTTCATGCCATGTGCAACGAAGCTATGTGCTTGATCTGTGCTTAGCAATTAGGATATGAACATTTAACGATTGGGAATCAGCAGCTTGGTCCGGTGTGTCGCGTTTCAATTTTTTTCTGGGCTGTGAATGGAGAAAATTTGTAAATTCATGTATCCCACATGTCAACAGTCTACTGCGGTAGCTTCGTAACGATAAAAGACTAGATAGAATGTATTTGAATCTCTGATTAAAAGGTTTGTTGCAAAGTAATTGTACGTACTCAATCATTTTTATGAATGTCCTACATTGAGTGAAAGTCCTACATTCCTTCTGGTTGTAATACTCTCTTCTAACAGGACAATGCACAGTTGCACAAATCTACAGGCACCACATTATGGTTAGATGAACACTTATTTGAGCTTAGAGTTCTTTGAAGTCACCCGATGTCAATGTTGTCAAACATATATGGGATACATGCAACACGCTGTGAAACATAAAAGTCCTGCATCTCCGAATCCAATGCAGTTATGGAAAATTCTGCATAAAGTATGTCGTTCATTGTTTTTAAAATATTCCTTTTTCACGCTCAGTTCTTTAGCTGCAGTTCTATGGTCCTATGAAATCTGGTACATCAAGTACCAGTTTTTTCTTAATACTTCCCGGGGGTCGACGCAGAGCACTCTGTACAGTACTGGCTAGGATCTGTACCTGGACAGTCTCGGCCACAGGGGTATAAAATTTATGAACTTGGCGGTTCCCGATGGTCCATGGGGTAGATCCTATACTCACTCTTCATGGGCCGGGAGATATAAGTCCTCATCCAACAGGGTATTGGTAGCCAAATAGCAAACTGGACCGTTGAGAGTCTGGTCACTGTTGGCCTTGGTATTCTATGTAAAGCCTAAGGAGAAGGGCATCCCGCGTAGTGCTGAGAGGTAGCCAAAATGAATGGCCAGTCATCGTTCCAAGTTGTCATCAGCCCACCCCACCTTGGTCTCGGTCCGGCCGGGACGGTAGTTTTGACTGACCTGTGTTTAGCGCTGGGATTAGCTAAACTTGAGTGGAGCCTAAAATTGTTGGTGTCTGGGGGATGTGGGACCCTGTGCCAAGCAGAGTATCTGACCATCCTTAGGATAGCTTCTGACTGATTTATCAGTCCCTGTAGTGCTATTAAGTTAGCGAGGCAGGTATAAATGTAGTTAGATAATACACCACTGCAGTTGGTGTACTGGTGTATTAAGTATTAGTCTGATGTACTAATTTTAATGCCACTTCAGACTACTGAGATTACTTTTTTAAAATATAGAATACATATTTATTTCTGAGTAATAAATATGTAATGACAGTATGTTGACTGAAAAGCTATGAAACGGCAGTTATTGAAATCACTGATTGTATGTCATTTTCATATACAGTCCCTGTTAAGTTTCACTTAAATGTGGTTTTACTGTATATTCAAGGATGATATAAAAGGATAGGAAAGGTGCACTCATTTTTCTCTAAAAACGTAAGAAGACTCCTGCTTAAAATTTTACAGAATTATTTCTCTGAAAAAGTGAAACTGAAAAAAAAAAATTATTTTTTAAAGAAGCATTATAATATTTAAATAAACATATGAGTTCTTTTAAATAAACATTAGAACATTAGATGGCATATTTGGAACTTTAATTTTTTTAATGATCAAAATATTGCAACAGAAATATTCTAATACACTTTTGTTGCATATAGATTTGTTTCGGTTGCAAGATTCCTCTTTTTGACAGATGCAAATGATTATAACCCTAAAGTTCCTGATTTGCACGAACATTCACTGAAAGTTTAACTTTAAATCCGCATAAAAAATGTACACAAAATGTATACAAAATTAAAATTTTCAATCAGGAATTACAAAATGCAAAAGTAAAGCAGACATGCAGCATAAAATCTGATACAAATGAAAAATCGCAGAAACAAATGGTTATAATTTGTGAAAATATGTTGCGTTCAAAATACGTGCTGTAGTTTTCATATATTTCGTAGAAAAACTGTGAATAAATGCATTACACATTGAATAAAGACGGAATAAAAACATACTTCTCTAAACATATAGTTGCTTAGAAACATGTTTTAGATTTAAGTAAAAATTTTCTTTTTAGCTGTTAGAAATCAGATTAACAGAATTTTAACATCATGCACAAAAGCTACTTGCATTTTCATTGCGGGTATGTATTTGGTCTTTAATGTAACAAAAACCTACCCAACAGCCACATCAAAGATGTTGCTTCCAACGGAACTGGATACAGCCATGTCACCAAATCCTTTGCGGGCCACTAACACACTGGTTATGAGATCCGGAATGCTGGTACCGGCTGCAAGGAATGTTAAACCCATAACCTGCGAAGGTGAACGAAGCAAAAACCAATTAATCTTTTAAAGTATCAAAACCTATTTTTATAATATTCATATGTGAATGAATTATAGTTAATAAAAACCTTCATAAACAGCAAAAATAAATATCACATTTAATGACAGTTTAATTATTAGTGCAATAAAAATTACTTCAATTCAAAAGTTATCTGTATTTTGGCACATAATGCGCTTGGAAAACCCAGCCTAAGAACTTAATATTTCGTCTTGATCTGCGTTATTCTGAGTAAAACGAAATGCGTTTTTATTTATTTATTTCGGTGCTACTTTGATAGACGGTTGCACGGATTTTGGCGATTTTTTGGCGATATTTCTTTTGACGAGTAATACAACTTATGGTAAACCTATTGCTGAATAAGTTATTTATGGTAACCGATACTTTGTTGTCATTTTATTAAAAAAATAATGCGTTTTATTATGCATAACTTCCGCGTTTTAAATATTATTTATGGCTTCTAAATATTAAAAATCAATTTAATTTTACATTTTATTTGAAATAAAAATTTTGTTGTTTATAATATTTTATATAATTTTATGTTGTGGATGATGTAATCAATGACGTCACCTTACTTAAAAAGTAATTGGTTTTATTAATATCTATAAATTTAATCTAATGTTTTAAACATTATTTATGGCTGTTAAATATTAAAATACAATTTAATTTTGCATTTGTTTTAAAAATGATTTTATTATGAATGATTATTTAAATAATTTTAATTCTATGCGTGATGTAATCAGCTCCCTGATTGGTTACTGAATATTTGTGCATTACCGCGCCATATTAAAATTTTATTATTCATCTCTTCGAATTTCTCGGATTTCAAATAGAATGGATATCTCCGTTTCGAAGACGAATGTTGTTATTGGTAATTACCAAGAATTATTGGTATTGGAATAAAAAAATTGCCCTTTGAGACTATATTTTGGCCAACCTGTCTTTCCTAATCAAAGATTTATTTATAAATTGTTAATAGCGTCAGAGGAAATTTTGGAGGAAATCTCGCTAATTGCTTCTTCAATGAAGTGCGAGATATTTGGATAACAGATGAAGATGGTTAAAAGATCCGATTCAATTATGATTTCGATTTTTTTTGTTGTACTTATCAATAAACAAGAGGTTAAATTATTCAAAAAATGTAAGTACATATTTTTCTTTTTTTTTATAATTGTATACTTCAATTTTTGTTAAAAAAATTAATACCCTATTTTCAAAAATTGATGAGATAATTATTGTCACATATGTTTTAATGTTAATTATATTTTATATAACGTATTTTAAAGTATTTGAATTTAATAATATTCTAATTCTTTTAAATGTTGGTAGGATGATTTTTAATTCGATATTAAATTTCAGTAATATTTTAATCTAATTAAACGTTGGCACAATGTTTTTATAGCGGTGTTTTTATTCTCTTTTTTGCTATATGAAAGTAATAATAGCCTCACTTTAGTACTTTATACTCATAGTAAATGTATTTATTTACACTTGCCTGCCATCTTAAAAAACGACATTTTCAACAAAAAATTAATCCATTACTTTTAACGATATTTATTTTATTTTTTAAGTTCGAATACTTTACTATGCGTAAAAACAGCGTTTTTCAAGATGGCTGATGATTGTAAAAATCGCGCCAACAATTGCGCCAACGTAAATCGCCAAAAATCCGTGCAACCGGCTACCAAAGTAGCACCTTTATTTCCTATCGGTAGTACCCGATGGCAGTTAAGTCAACTTGAGAGTCATGTATCTAACAACAGAGAGAACGAAACCACTGTAATCTTTCTCTGATAACCATGTAAAAAATACGATTCATAGTGATACATTTTTCAGCCTGATGCGATATGGAACCCACATAAAAATTTCCATAGAAAAATAAACTAATTCACTCTCATTATATCAGCAACATTAGCCCTCAGTTTTTAATGATTTTCGTCTTTCGAATAATAAATGGTCACAAAAGTTTCTAATAATAAATGGTCAGGTTCCTTCCAATATTTCACCTATATTCAATTCTAGTCGATTAAAGTAGTGAAAAATTTATCATAATTGAATTGAAATGAATAACTCAAACAAAAAACAGACACACATTCTTCTTTATATAAATAGATTTCGTAAAACTTACAAATTTTTTATTAATAATACGATTTGAAAGCGAGCAGTAGCAAAGCTTTTATTACTTAAAGGAATTATCCAAAATATAAAGATGAACTACCGATGCCTTTTATGCGCACATGTGTGAATTATGAAAGTAGTGCCTATGATTTTTAGAAACAATTCACACGGAAGGATACCATATTTACTTTGTTTCTTTCCTGAAAGGATATAAAGAACATTATTTCACGTCGTTGTTTGTGCAAATTGTGTCCATGATCATGTTCGTAGATGATGAATGGAGTGACAAAAATTCTCTTACTTTTAAAACAAGTCTGGCGCTCGTGACAGACATCTTGCCTTTACTTACATATTCGGAGAAGATTAGTGTTTGTAAGGAGGAGATGCAAGCTTGGATGGATGTAAACAATGCTGCTCTCTTTGTAGTACATTCTCAAGATGATGATAATAGGTTATGTACTGAGAAAAGAGTAAGATGATGATGATGAGCCATGGAGATAAAAACGACATGCAGACTTTCTTGCTCTGCGTAGAAGGAAGCTGACAAAGGATCGCAGACTTTCAGAAGATTTCCCCAAAAATATTCCTCTATGTCCATACATGATGTTGTGAATGTTCATTGTAAACACAGTGAATATTTAAAACGGCAATCTTATAAGCAAGCATATATGTGAAGTTTCATGACATTATGTTAAGAAATTCATAATCTTCAAGTGATAATAAATATTGCAATTATAAATGTTTACTTTTGTTTTCCTAACGTATAAAATCATGTTCTGTGTTTTAATTTTAAATAATATGCATCATTTTCAATATTATTTACTTAATTTCGGAAGACACATCATAAACGTTACATGTCATCACAAAATGTGAGCAAGTAAGTTCTAGAAACACACATTCAGTTACCCGAAAAAAACCTCTTATCCGGAATCGGAGTGATCCTGTAGCTGCCGGTTAAAAGGGCTTCTAGAATTCCATTAGATACTTCCAAAACAATCAGAGACTGGCATTTTGAACGAAACTGAGAGACAGCTTTTGTGTGCTTTACCCTAAATTAAAAATTCAACTTTACTTTAGGTAATAAATTCAGCTTTCTTTATGATTTTAATTATACGTTTGAGTTTCATATTGTTCCGAATTTTGCATTCAGTTAGATATTTTTAATAGATTTATAATTAAAACTGTTTTACTTCCCCGTGCAAAGCAGTGCGTGATGTATTTTAAGAGAAAGCTACGCAGGAAAGTTAATACAAGAGCACGTGCCTTTAATATTGAATAAAAGTTTATCTCGGTAATTTATATTTAATTCGAATAAATGTAATTGACTAAATTATTAGCTGCAGCCGTAATTCTACTCTTTTTCCTTTCCAGAAATTGCTAGAACTATCTCGCGTGGCCGATTTAAAAGGGCTATAAAATCTGGAGAGAAACATCTCAGATCAGTAGTAGTAGTTGTTTAGATAACTGTTGTTTCTTGATTGTAAAGAATTCGCAATAAGATCGGATTAGCTTTCTATGCGCTTTGGATTGCATTCTATTTAATGTTTTAGTAGTTTAAAACAGGGTTTCTTAAACTTTTTTTCAGTCGCGACCACTTTTTATTTCTGAGACTTGTTCGCGACCCCCAGGACCCATAATATTTACAAAAATTTTGTGGGACACCATAAGTATTGCGCAAATACGACACACGCGTGAGTGAAAGTAAAAGAATGCGTCGAAACGTTTTCGTTTTTTTCTTTGTCTGTATTGTCTTATCTTTATCTATTTTCAGATACATTATGTAAAAAATATTTGACAATTGTAAAATTATTATAATAACTTAAAGAAACTTCAAAACAGCTAAAATTTTTGGCGACCTCCTGCTGCAGGTCCCACGACTCCCAAGGGGTCGCGACTCACAATTTAAGAAATCCAGGTTTAAAATATAGCTACTGATTATACTGCGAGATATTGCGATATTAAACTAATTTCTTTGAGGAAAAATCCAGCGTTTTATTATATTTCTTGTGATAAGAATAAATTTTATTTACTTCTTATCGGACTTGTGCATTCCATCTATTACGAACCCGTACGCACGTAACAATATTTAATTATTTACAGGTGTTAGTTGTACATTATTTACAAAACCGCCAACGTCTGAGCCGTAAAGTCGCTGAACACTGGTATTTTGGTCTGGTGCTCCAGCTCCGGCGAATGGGCTGGCTCTATGTGAGTTTTCGTGGCCTTCCAGATATGTAACTTGTATACGAGACAGTTTCCCTTAGAAAGTCCTCCACGAAGACATCCCTTCGCTAAGGTAGATAGCCCTCGATTGCTTTGCCATAATCAAATAAACCAAACCAAATAATTTTTTATAGGTAATGAACAGTATAGGGCTCATACTGGAATTGAAATTGGTAAGCATAATTAAAAGCATAATTTTTTTTTATTTATAAACCTCGGCTACTAATTAAAAAATTGCAAAAGAACGCGAAATTTATCTTAAGAATCGAAAGAGTAAAATTTTATAACTTTTGCAAAAATTTTCTTCATTTGTTTCATAAATTACTGGCAAAATAGAAACTTTGCTAATCTAAAACTCATACACCTATTCTTTTCATACTTGAAAAGTCTGTCTGAGTCTCTTTACGTTACGTTACAATATCCTGGCGTTTATTATTTTCGCGGTTTGGCAAGTGCTACCATTAAAAAATGCAACAGATCTTAACGCTAGAAATGTTTTTGAAAGAAACTTCCAAAAACTCTAGACTGTCCAGACGAATAGCCCAATGTTTCCATTAGGTGAAACACAAGATCTTCAGTTCTTTTCGCAGGCAGTTTCGCAAATTGATAAGAATGCTTTCATTGGGTAAGA